CCCAGAGCTCCCGGCAGTTTGTGCAAGGCAGCCAGGCGAAAGCAAGCTCCCTGGCACAAACGGATGACTCTGTCCTGAAACCTCAGGGGACTGATGATCAGCCAGCGCTTGAGGTGTTAAATTATTCTTCCCCGGGTGACCCTATTAGGGGTAACGAGTCCCATCGTACTTCTCAGGCAAACCTTCTGCAAAGAGGGGAAAAAGGCAAGGGAGCAGAAAAAACTGGTTCTGCTGCGTGTCAGCCAGCCTCGCCAGCGAGGCACAGCCAAGCTGACCTGGGGAGAGACCCGCAGACTGGTTTGGAGGCAAAGAGCGGGGCTGCAGACACTGCGCAATTGTGTCCCACGGATAAAACTCAAGCGGTGCAGAGCAGCGAGGCACCAGCCCAGTCTAGCCACGAGAGTCCGCATCCTGTATGCAACGCGGGCGCCGAGCCGGGGAGCCCGGGCCCCACCCTGCTCTCCAAATTCAGAGAAACGGGTACAATGACGGTTCAGTCGGAGAGCAGCTCTTTAACTCAGGAAGCAGTAAGCAGGACGTGGCGAGATGCTGAGGTTCAGGCCGTGGCTGCTGTGGAGAGCAAATCGGCCTCCACAAGCCCCAGCATCCTTGCTGCCTTCTTGAAAGGGAATCCTCCTCCAGAGGAGAAAGAAGAACTGCACATAATTTACCAAGGAGATATGGGGCTGAGCCAGTCTGCACTTACTGACAGTTTCTCCTCCCAACAAAAGTCCCCATGTTCTCCCGGTATCACATCAAAATCGACTGTTGTTACGGCTGTGACCGCTTCAGCCCAAACCCAGCCTACCAAACTGCCTGGGGTCCCATCTGACGTGGTGTCGCCAGCCTCAGCAGGTAATGGAAAACTTGCTCTCCCCTTCTCCCCTGCAGCCGTTACCTCCCAAGGGACGTCTGTGGGTAATGCTGAAATGGTCGGTGCAGCCCATGACGGCAAGGATGCCGCTCGGTTGTTACGGCTGTGACCGCTTCAGCCCAAACCCAGCCTACCAAACTGCCTGGGGTCCCATCTGACGTGGTGTCGCCAGCCTCAGCAGGTAATGGAAAACTTGCTCTCCCCTTCTCCCCTGCAGCCGTTACCTCCCAAGGGACGTCTGTGGGTAATGCTGAAATGGTCGGTGCAGCCCATGACGGCAAGGATGCCGCTCGCCTGCCGATGGATGCTCCGGTCCCACCGAAGGCCACCCCTGCTGAGCAGCTTGCAGTTGACTCCAGTAACCAAACTCCAGCACAGCCTGGGCCTGGCGCTGGGGCACCAAGCACCGCCGCTGCTGACGCTGTCCCTGGAACCGAGCGCAACGTGCGAGGTCTTGCCCATGACGCGGGAAGCAGCCGATTGCCTTTACTCTGTAGCACAGGCAGTGAAGTCAAGCAGAAGGAGGTCCTGGGCAGCTCTGAGCAAAGGCCTGTGCAATGTAAGGGTGCGAGTCAAGGGGAGGCCATTCCTGATCAATCCGTGGTGAAACCAAAGGAAGAAAACTCGATGGTGCTTGATCCTAAAGGGGGGATGAATGTTAGCAGCCAACCCGCTGCTGTCCGCGTAAAGGTGTGCTCAGAGGAGGCAAGTGAAAAGGAGGAGAGCGGAGGCCAGGGAGACACTGGCCAAGCTCAGGCAGCTGGTGGCCAGAGCCTGCAGGCAGGACTGACGCCCAAGTCGAGCGCGAGCTCTGCGTGTCTCACCCCTCTCTCGGGGGCCTCGGCGGCTCCCCAGCGGGAAGGTCTCCAGGCCGAGGAGTCCGGATGCGAGCTTCACACAGCAGCTCTTCCTGCTTCAGCTCAGGCCTTGCCAAACCTGGGGGAAAACAAAAAGCAGCCCACCCCGGCCATGGAGGCGAAAGTGCAGGTGAAGCAGTCCAAGCACATCAGGGATGTTGTTTGGGACGAGCAAGGCATGACGTGGGAGGTTTATGGTGCTTCCCTCGATCCAGAATCCCTGGGAATTGCCATCCAGAACCACTTACAGAGACAAATACGGGAACATAAGAAACTAATTGGGGCCCAGAACAGTCAGACCCGGAAATCCATTTCCTCGGATACATCCTCAAATAAAAAACTGAAAGGGAGGCAGCACAACGTGTTCCAGTCCATGCTGCAGAATTTTAGGCGTCCTAATTGCTGCGTCCGACCCGCTCCCTCTTCTGTGCTAGACTGACGTGGGTTGCAGGGGTGCGTCGATGCCTGCGGTGGTAGAGAGGATCCCTCCCCTCAAGTCTCGACTCCTGCTGTTAGTTGTGTTATTGGGAATGTGATGCAGCAACAGCGGAAAATTATTCCCCTTTGTTTTCTGAGTAGCCACGGGCTCCGTCACGCCATTGTTATTGCCACAGCCGGTGTATTTCCACATTATGCCCCCACCCCGACTACTGTCAGATGAAAAGCTAGGCACTTAGCAAAAGCACAAATTTAAATTGCCACCTCGCTGCAGGGAGAGCAGCACCTTCTGGTAAAGCAAGAAGCAGAGAGATTGTCAGAATTGTTACGGGAAGTTATTTGTGTGCATCACGAGGCCTTATACAAAGGGGTGGGCTGGGGGAAGCTGGGGTGGAACTGAGGTCCAACAGCTGTAGCGACCTAATGCAAGACAAGTTTCCTGGTGCGTAAGTTACCCGCACTGAGGCACGTCCGTGGAAAGGCTATGGACATCAATTGCTGAGCAGTCTCCCTTCTGTTGATCCTGAGAGGCAGCGTTCTCCTGTGAGCCCCAGGGAGCCAGGTCTTCCCCACCGCTGAAATGGAGAACCGGGCAAAGAGCGAGGATCAAGGCTGAAGGATTCTCTCTTTGGGAGAAGTCAAGTCAATGGGATTTTGATGGCTAGAAGGAGGGGAGGTGAGAGAGGGGTATATTTCGCGGGCTTTTTCTCCCCGGCATCAGCCATGCTTAAGGTATCAGCAGGCACGAGAGAGCACCTCAGCAGATGTACCCGCACCCCGCAGGAGGGTGCCCTCGCTTGCGCTGTGGTGCTCCAGCCACGGCTTCGAAAAGCAGCGAGCCCTTCTGGCTCCTCAGCCGGGGTGGGAGCCCCTGCTCCCAGCCTCCGCGGCGCTGAGCGCCTCTCTCCTCCATCGCTCTTCAAAGTGTCGTGGATCTTGTTTCTCTCTCCAGAGGTGCGCAGTAACGTTTCCCCGTAGGAAAAGACTGTCCTGCGCGTCTGGGTCCGTAAGCCTACGTGTCTAGTGTCTTACACTGATTTTTTTCCTTTTAAGTCTTTAGCCAAATCTGCTCTTTTTTTTTTTTTTTTGCAATATTTTGGTGCTTTTCTTGCTGTCTTTCATAAACCGAATACCATTTATTTAGCCTGTGCGTATTTTGTTTTACCTAATGCTCTCTATACTATAAACCATTATATTGTTAACTTGAAACATTTACTTCACAAAAGTACTGAAATCTTGAGACAATCTTTGCTGTGTTTCTAATGTTAGAAAAGTTGTAGAAACTGCTAATAAAAGGTAGCTTAGTGACTGTTTCTCCAGAAGTGTGATATACAATAATGTCTCAAATGTATGTTGGTCACATTTCTCACCTTAATGGTATTTTTCAACCTGGGAAATGTGTTTCCCACTACCTTTTTATTCTATCCACTAGAGTTCATGATGGGAAAATCCTGCAATTTGTTAGAAAATTTAGTTTTCAGTCCTGCAAAGCACTGAGGATTTGGATATTGTAATCCTGCAGAGTACTAGAGTTAAATAGGTGTTATTTTTATTCCATTAAAGGTTTTTCATGAAGCATGATGATAATTTATTTCTGTCTCTAGTACCACACACCGGACTTACTCTGTAGATCTTACTCATACAAGTTACTCTGTAAATCTTACAGGTTTACGCAATGTAAATGAGTATTATCTTTTTTCTTTTTTTTTTTTTCTGTGACACAGACCTGAGGTCGTCCCCCTTTATTTAGAAGGCCAGACTTTCTGAGTCTGTCAACTGCCAAGCCTTCAAAACAGCCGTTTTGGGGCAATTTTTACCCAGCACAGAGGTAAAATACTGCAAGATACAGTGTTTTAACCTAGTTCAGTGAAAGGTGTTGCCCCTAGGCATAAATACTGAATTGACTCCTAGTTTTCCTCTGGTGTACATCTGGGGGCTTTATGGCACGTCCTTGTTCCATTTCTTTGCGTTATTTCAAGTCCTCTTGCACTTGATGCCAAGTTGCTCATTCTGAAATACCACATTAGAGAGTGTCTTCCCACCTCTGCCTACCAGGAGGAAAGTCTCCAACCTTTTTTCTGTTAGTACTACTGTTTCCATCCCCTTCCTAGCAGTGTCCAAGATTTGAGTTCCATGTGAAATTTTGTGGGGGATTAATACTGGCCGTCTCGTTAGGTCAGGTTAGTTGACAAGGTCAGTGTCTCTTCCCACGTTGTGTCCGTGTCAGCCCTGAAGAGGTTCCCAGAGTTGTCCGCGATGTTTGCTGTTGTCCTGACCAGGTCCAAGGCTTTGCGCTGCTCCTTTCCTCTCCCTTCTGCCCCTGCCCTCGCTGGCGGCTGCCCAGCCTGTCTTCCTGCAGAACAGTGTCCCTTGGCTCAGCTCATGTCCCTCTCCACCGTCCCCCTCGCCGTAGTGTTGTGAGCCAGCTTACTCTGAACTGTCCCTTTACAAATATGCTCGGTCTGAATATATAAATGGATTGTCATATTTTTTTCCAGAGGAGAATAAATGGCTATCGCGCATTCACTGATTTCCATGAACTTTATCCTTTAGCTTAAGCTGTCCAAAATATTTATAGCGTATGGGTAAGAGTTGCTTTATTGAGACCAAACTGGGCTTGGCAATGAATGAGCAGGGCACTGGAATTAACTCTTCTTCATGAGGAATGGGAGATCTCTCCCAGTTCCTGCTTCCAGCTGTGAGCCTTCACCAGCTGGTCCACCCACACCTCCCTCCTCACCTCAACCCACCTTCTTTCCAGGACAATTTCAGCGATAGATACATACCACAAAGTGCCGACGGGCAAGTAACTAAGTGGATGCATCTGAACAGCTGCATGGGCATAACTGGAAAAACTGTAGTGGTCTGTTTTTGAGCGCTCTGCTTTTGTATTCCTGGAAAATAACGAGTCCAAAGACAAACTGTGAAATGTTGGTGATGCTGCCTGGTGGGCACAGAAGTCCTACAGGCATGCGTTTGAAGCCAAGCAATAACATGCCAAAAAAACAACAAGTCAAAACAAAACGAGTCAATAATCACCAGCACATCTCATGGAAAACATTTTAGGTTTTCGCTTTACCTTGCTAGGGCAGACTGTAGGCAACCTGCTAGTTTAGCACTGGCAATTTATGCTTTCTGCTGCGTACAGTGTCTAGATGATGATGGTGCATCCTCGTGGGGATGATGCATCTTTCACCAGCAGCAAAACAGAACCATGTTTTGTGTAGTAATTAGCAAATATTGTGCGTGTGAGTGATCTTGTAGGAGCCGAGAAAGACCGTTCTTGGTGTCATGTCAGCATCAAAAGTGAAAATGTGCTTGGAGTAGCAGTATGGCAGAGGTTAGGGGGAGATGATCTGTCTGCCACCACCCTGCTCTTTTTATCTGCTGAGTGACTCAGAATCACATTGCATTGGTTGAATGGTTAACAACCAAGGAAATCCATTTGGGCTAATAAAAAGAGGGTTCAAAACAAACTACTTTGTCATTCCGAAGACTAAATCTGTATAAAAAAAAAAAAAGAAAACGAAGTAACTCTTAAATTCAGTTTGTTGCAAGATGAGAAATTTTGGGAAACAAGCTAATTCTCAGGAAACTCTTCCCTGCCGGTGCATCTTCTGGGAAGGTTGGCACGGCCAGGACCATTAATAAAAGTAGTGAATGAGAATTGGAAAAGTTACTTCTAATTTCACTTCAGGAGCTTTCTGCTAGGAGGGGTAAGAATAAGCCTGTCTCAGTGTTGCCAATACAAAACCTGAGTTGAAGGAGAACCTCACTGCAGGCAATTTGCAATATAGTCCTGGACTTCATGCAAGGTTGTGACATCCACCACTGTCTGTGTGCACTTGGTTGGTATCTGCCAGCTTTGCGTTGCCTTGGGCACAAGTACTGAAGTCCTGCCTCATTACTGCTGACTTGTTTGGAAAAAAAAGAGTGGGGAAAGAGCTGGAGGGACAAGGAGGAGAATATCTATCTTCTCCTCTTCAGAGGGAGAGAACCTTTTGAATACACAAGAAGGAATTGCTAAGAAGCATGGGAAGGAAGGGACCAAAAGAGAAATAAACCAAAGTTGATGTAGGTGCTTCACAAGGAATTCCCATTCCTATGTCTGTAAAGCCAGCGTTTTTCTTCAGTTTTGTCCATTTGTTCATTCTGAGCTCACACATTTTTCATATTGTTAGTGTTCCATGGCTTTTAGGAAAATGAACATTTCCAAAGGCTGTGTATTTTGCTAGTATGTAGGGATATATCCAAATACAATTCAACAAAACCACTAGGCAAACAACCTCAATTTATTAGTGCTGCTACCACGTAAGAGCTTGTACAATGCACCATTTGGAGAAGTATATTCAAGGGATTCAGAAAAGGTAAATATATGCTCTAAAGATAACACTAGCTTTTATCTTGAATTTCATTACTATGTTGAAGTGTTAAAGTTAGCAGTGGAAATCCAAGTGAAAATCAGTGTTGAAGTTGATGGAAAATTCAAGCTGGCTGCCACTGGTTTTCAGTTTGGAAATTTGATGGAATCCACCATACCAGTGTTTCATTACTTAGCTCAGTATATGCAAGGTTTGTATGAAAGTGCAAATTTTATTAGCTTATTAGCTCCATTGTCTTGTTCCATGTGTATCTTTCCACACCTTTTTAAAATGAACGCAAAAGGTTACCAAGACAGAGTAGGTCTTTCACACCCAGCTTGTGGAAGTGGCTGCTCTGAATAAGAGTCGACTGATCGTCAAGCTCCATGGTCTTGGAAAGTTAATGGCTAAGGTCTGAAGGAAACTCTCCCCTCCTTTTTTTTCTTCCTCTGTTTTTGTAACATCTCAACCTCTGCTGTTTTATTTTTTGGTGACTCTGTGATGCCTGTATGAGTGGTCAGTGTTTTAAGTCATTCCAAAGATATGCACATAGATCCTTATCCAAATGCTGCACACTACCACGTATCTCTCGAGTCACTGGATGCTGCGGTGGTCCATGGGCCTGAATGTCAGGTCCGGT